CCCCCCCCGTCGACACCAACCATTAGAACAAAAAACCTACAGATGCCCTCTGGTTTGTTATTCCAATTGATTAACTCTATTTTGATTTATTTAAGCAAAAATATATTTTGTTGCTTTCAAAAGTTAAATAGAAATGACTTTGAGTGGCTTAGGTCATTCCTTTGAGTAAATGTTTCTTTACTCTTTTGAATTAAGAAATTATTTCCTTGGTTTGCAAAGTTTCCAAATTTCTAGTAAAGTATTTATATCAGAAGTATTTTGGTTGTCAAGTATCAGTTATTCATGAAAAGTAGAGGTGGTTCAATGTAACTTTTTTCAGAAGCTGCTAGATCGGTTTGACTATGATGATGAACCGGAAGCAGTGGATGATTCAAAAAAAGAAGATACAACACCTTCTCCTTCCATTTCTCAACCAGCCTTGTAAGTCTTATTTGAATTCATAGTAAAATAAACCAGATTAGGAAGAGAGACTTATAATAAAACCTTTTGTTAAAATTCCAAGCTATTTGAGAACTTTGCTACGCTCTTACTTTGGCCATGGATAGTAACAACCATGTTGCTTGTTTGAATAGTAGAGTTATGAGGGTTTGGCATGTCACATTGAGTGGGGAAGGTGTTCTATAAGGTAGTCAAGAACTCAGTTCTAGGTTCAAAATTTCAGGCATGCACTTTTTTATAAAGGTGGATATTTTGGGGTATTTTTTATTAAAATCCACTCAGCTACTTTGCTGGCTGTTAGATGGATGCTGTTTTGAAAATTTGGATTTAGTATGTTTTTAGTAGCTGGTACAACTTGGTTATATATAGTACATACAGAAAAGTATGAAGTCAAATTGCAAACAAAAGTTTTAAAAAGTACAAAGTCAATTAGTCTTTTAGCACTCAAGTTAAAAAATACCTGCATTAAGGATGACTGTTTAAACTGATTTCAGCCCCTTTGTGCTATATGTATTATAATATAGTCTTTAATTAAATGATGATCACATATATTCTCCCCCACCCCTCCCCAGACCCTCCTCATTCAGGCTGGATGGGGCTCAAATGGTTTATTCAGCTTTTTTCATCCAATGCCCTATGTACTGTACACTTAGTAGGGGTACACTAAGTGTACTGTATACATATTAAAACATTGCTCTAAATATGGAATTAATCTCCTACATCTTTTTAATCATGCACATCACCTTGGAACTTGATGGTTTCACAGATATTTAATTTATTTTCATAATACCTCAGTGAAGTAAACTGAAATATTTTTCCAGGTTTACTGGTGGGATCTGAGTCATTTATCAAAGTGCCCTTATGTGATTGCCCAGTTTCACATCCTGGAACTTGACTTTTCAATGTAATTAATGTAGTTAGACCACTTTAAAGGGCAGGTCCCATTGATTTCAGTGACAGTCATGTCCCGAGTCTCTTGAGCTGAGCACCAAGAAAATAAGAAACACTTGTGTGAGATGCTAAACAAGTCACTTATTTTGTGGCAGAATTGGAGTTAATATCAAATTCTCACTTCCTTTCAGCTGCCATAGTATGGGACTCTTCTTCTTTCTATAGTCCTGTCTTATTTACTACAAACCATCCAGCTTTTCCAACAGAGGCAAACACAACCATCTTGTTAACTAAGTAAACTTGATTTAATTAATTGAGCACTATGGATATTATTGCCTTGAATTAGCAGCAAATGGCACATATCTAATCTCTCTGTGAGAGATGCATCCTCTCTCGTACTCAGTATTCAGATTCCAAATTGTAGGTGCATTAGAGCTGATCAGCCAGCTTGTAAGAATATTTTACCCATCCTTTGTTCTCGGAACCAGGTAAATCCCTTTTTGTTAAAAACCAGAGTGAAGCAATAGTGTTTAGCCTAGGGTAGACGCCCAGTGTAGAAAATCTCAGCCTGAATAGCATAAAGTTCAGCAAAATCACAGTTTTACATAGGATAAGATATTCACTTTTACATGGACTTTAATTTTGGCAGCACTGCCTGTAATTCAATGTTCGATATAGAGAATTTGCAAGACTCAAAATCTTGCAAAAAACTCCTAGTGAGTCTCCTTATTGTGGAGAGTTATAGGAGAACACTTGTTGTTTTGTTTTTTTCTTGAAAAAGTGTTGAAAGTATTGTGGATTCAGAATTGGTGAATTTTTTTACTCTTAATTTTAAAGGAAGAATGAGTAAACACATACGAATGTATAAAAAAATTCAGTACGGTAAGAATACAGTTAAAAACTCAGTGTATAGTAAAAACATAGTAAAAGCTGAATATTTATGTATGTAATATTAACTTGCTGCTGCAGAGTAATTGTCTGTTGTTTAGTGGATTTCCAGGAGAAGGTATGCCACCACCAGTATATCCACAACTCCCAAATATAGATCCGTTTCAGCAGCGAATGATAGGAATGCAACAGGATCCAATACGCCACCAGGTAGTTTTAAGACTTTTTTTTTTCCTGTCATAAAACTATTGCAATTTTGAATATTCATAGTATCTATTGGTAATACAGAATTCATGAAACATTTGTGGTGCAAAGAAATAGAAGCATAAATATTGAGTATGAAGAAATATTTTTTACTAGTTACCTTGTACTTATAGCTTACGTACATGCTTAAATTTGAATACAGAGGTTTAATGGTAACACAAACTTAAGCATGTGCAAAATGTTTGCTGCATCAGGACCTTAACAGTAGTGTTAGTTACAGAGTAGAAAATGTTAGAATGCTTTAAAACAGTTACTACAGGATTAAACACATCTGTGAAAAGGGCCCATGAGATGTATGCAAAAATTCAGCATGTCAATATGCATTTTTAATGGTAAAATTAAGACTTATACTTGTTTTGCTCAGAGCAGCTTCTTATCAAGCCAAGTGTATCATTTTACTAGAATTTTTTCAGGAAGGACTAAGTAAAAATGCATGGATTCTTTTTTCCAAAGGTTCCACTTCCTCCCAATGGACAAATGCCAAGTTTTGGACTTCTACCTACGCCACAGTTTCCTCCTATGGCTCAGCCTGTAATACCCCCAACACCACCTGTGCAGCAAACTTTTCAGACTCCTTTTCCAGTACAAAGTGAGCCACCACACATGCAGAAAACACATCAGCAGGTGAGGACCGTTGCCATTGAATACATTTTTATCTCCTACTGCTTTTAAAGTGTGTTTATTAAGTGCAGACAGTCTGTCAGGAGAACACATTACTACTGGCAACCATAGATGCTCATAAAATCAGTTCGTTGTGAAGTCTTGGTGACCAAAGTGCTTCTCCAGAAACTATACCACAAGTGCAGTGTTCTGCCTCTCTCTAGCAGAAGCAGCATGAAAATTTGTCTGCTTCTCTTCGAGTAAGACTTGGATTAGGGTCTTAGAAACAGACTGTTTGCCTCTCCTTGACTGCCCAAAGGGTTATTATGGACTCAGTGAGATTGGCTTTCGTTATGAAAAAGTCAGTAAGCAAATTTTTCCTTAAATTTTGTTAGACCTTTTTTATTGTTATTTGTCAGTCTGGGTATTGTGTTACATGAATATTCATATCCCTTTGTAGCTTCCCTTCAACTCAAACAGATAAATGGTTCTTGGCAGACCATATAATCCTGGTGTGTAATTTTACAAGTTACAACCCTGCAGAGACATTGGTTATCCAAGACTCATCCCAATTCACAAAAATAATGAGGTTTCACCCCAGTCCTGGCCACAGTTTTGAAAATTTGGCAGTAAGGTGCATTTTGCAGCATGACGGCTCTTTCCCTGTTGGTTCAGGACATCTAGCAGGGACATTCGTAATGTCCTGTATGCTTCAGAACTGTCCTGCATGTTTCTGTTCATTTCTCGTACTTGAGAGAGCTGTCAAAAGTGAGAGAATCCCTATTACCGGTGTTTCTCCATGACCTTTTTGTTGGATTCCTGTACTTTTCCAAGAATTTTTTTACTGGTCGGTCCCTTCTCCTTCATTTCACTCCAGGATGATAAGCCCTTGCATCTTGTAGTAGATGGTGTTTCAGAGACCCCAGCGAGTAACCTGGAGTCTTTGACACACTTTTGTGATCCTCTGGGGAAGATATTCCTTTCATGGATTCAACATGCACAAGATCCAGGGGCTGTGCACTCTTTGAAACATCTTGCTTCCTTTAAACCAGGGGAGGACAATTATTTCGGATGGAGGGCCGCTTACCCAGTTTTGACAGGCTGTCAAGGGCTGCATGGGTAGCCCTGCCCCTTGACAGGTGCCCCACCCCCTGGTCACCATCTTGGGACAGATGTCCCAATGTGTTTGGTTCCAAGACATTGGGACATTTGGCTTCATGTCCCAGGGCCAGCACCGGTGGGGCATAGGCTGGCAGGCTGCGCTGTACCAGCAAGAGGGGGGAGTTGGCCTAGTTCCATAGAGCCCCTGCTGTCTGGGACCCTGCGCTCCTGCCACCCTGCTCTGGGCCCCACCAGTACTGGCCCCTGTACACCGGTGTGGGCCCTGTGCACCCACTGGCTCCCTGCCCACTTCCAGTGCCCCTCAGCCCTGCTGTACAGGCAGGGAGTACGGGCAGTGCATAGCCCTGACCCCCTGCTCGCCAGCAGGGAAGAAGCTAGTGCTCAGTGTGGGGAAAAGCAGCCCCTCGCCCACCCTATGGCCGGCGCTCCCTGCTGCAGTTGCTTACAGCTCACGTGGGGCTGTCTGGAGCAGGCACAGGCAACCCCACGTGGGCTGTGAGCAGCTGCAGTGTGGGGTGCTAGCCGTAGGGCAAGTGAGGGGCCCCTTTTTGCCGCGCTCAGCACCAACTTGTAACCTGGCCCTGCTGCCAGCCTGGGCTCCGCGCCAGCTCTGGGCTTGCTCATGGGGGGCTGCGTGAGGCAGCAGCAACTGCAGCCGCCCTCCCCCCCCCCCC